CATTTATATAACGAAGGGCAAAAATGATCAGAATTACAATCCAGATGATTGAGGAATCACTGTCTGGTTACAATCAGTATTTAGGTCTTGGTGGGGGGGGGGGTTTGGGACACAAGTGCAATATATATTCATTAGCTTGTTTTTATTGATTATCTGCATTCTGCTCTGTGTTTGTTTAAAATCAATTTGTACTACACCTTGTTACTGGGTCTCTTCTACCGTACTACCCCTAATTAGATGGGCCGGGAGAGGCAACAACTTCAGCCCCACAGATGTATGAAAACAACATAAAGGCAGTTGACGTTCATAATAATATGTGGTAATGAGAAACCACATGTTTTATGTAGTTTCTAAGGGGGGATTGAAAGGAAAAGGTTAAGAGCATATTGGAGCTCTTAGCTGTTGTTGGGCATAGAAACTGCCTGAGGAGTAACAGAAGTTGTTGGATAAGATTTTTGGAGCTGAAATTGTGCCGGACTTAAAAATAATGTTCAAGGACTAATGGGGGTGGATATCTGGAGCTGTAAATAAGCTGTCTTTGTTCTGCAATATCTTTTCTTAATGCCTTATTGCACAAATATGTTAACTACTCCCTTGGAGTGGTATCACTTCTCAGGAAACGCTTCCTCCTCTGTGCTTGTTTTTGTGTAACTGCTTGACTATATAAAGGAGAAAGTCCCAGCTTGTACTTTGAATTGACTACGGCTCTTGTGGCTGAGCAATTCCTGTATGCATACATAATAAACTCACTGTGCCTTTCTCACAACAAACCTGATTGAGAGTGTTCATTTTCTACACTTGTTTTAGTGATTAGCAGAGTAAGTTATGTCATATTTATGTCACGCCCAATGTGTTTTTTAACAACCACAGAAGTTATTCACAAAGATCTTGAAGGTGAGAAGAGCCCAGAGATTGATGTTACCATCGATTGCATGAATAGCATTGAAAACTCCACTCCAGAGCTAAAGCAACCCCCAGTAGCTTCCAAAGGCTTCTCAGGTATAACATTATACAGTTGTTGAACAGTTTTTCATCTGCAATAAAAAGCAGTCTTATGAAACAAGGAACGATCAGCAAAAGCTAAAAAATAAGAAAGTTTGCAGAGATTAGAAGAGAAGCTAGCAGCTTTTATGGATCTGGAAAGTTAGTCCAGTGTATAAACATGTTAGTGAACACAGCAGAAAGAGAACAGAATGGGTCAACTAGAAAATAATTTAAAACTGGAGTATGTTCTCCAGTAGACAGGCGAGACACACTTTGGTGGATAATTCATTAGGATTGTCCTGCTCACCTTTAGTGTTCACACTGTGCCTTTAGAAAACATGACCCTTTCCCAATTCACAAACAAATGGAGCTCAGTGACCCACCTGTCAGGTGGCATTTTATGGATAGGGATATAGGCTCCCATTTATCTTGTGGCATCTGGGGTGCAGAAAAATAGATTTAACTGTAGGTTGCATTGTTTGTAAATACTGTACATAAAGTAACTTGTGTGTTGTATGTTTTGTTGTGTGTAGTGTAGTTTGTGTCTTGTCATTGTAATAAACATTTGGTTAACCAAGTGTGCCTGGATTATTATTCCTCTCAACAAAGCTGTGCCAGAGAACAAAGAATTAATGCGCCTCTAATTATACCAGCCACTCAGGTATATTGCTAGAAATCACTTACAAGTCAGGGGTTATGAATGATTTTCTCACTTATTGGCTAAACCGCTCTGTCAATTCCTGATTATTACCAGTTTTGTAACAGCACCTTCCTTTTCCTCATTGTCGCCAGGCCCCCACAATTCCCCTGGTGCAACAGAACCCAAGTTGCAATCTGGCATGGTATCAGAAGCTGTCACAGCATGCCCTTCACTGCTGACATTGTTTGAGTCCCCAAGTCCCTGGCTCCCTGCATGTTTGCATTCTCCAACATGTTTGAACAGCTTATTTCACTTAGTGGAAGACCAGAGCCCTTGTCATTTGCTACTGGTCCTGAGAACATATGGCCCAGTGAATGTAGTGGTGCAGGAGGCAGAGGGTTAAATTCGATTATGTGGTACAAATTTAGAACTTGCTAGAGAAGGGAAAAAGAGGACTGAGATACCCTGGGTGTCACAACATCAGTCAGAGAAGATCAGAGGTCAAATCAAATAAACTGGAAGATTGCCAAATATGGATTTAATTCTCCTACCTATCTTAAGAAATACAGCTTTAGCAGGGCTTCAGGTAAGCACGAAATGTATTTAAGCTGTAAAGGTATTAAATGTATTAATAAATGTGTTAAAGAAATGCTCAATTTAAGATGTATTACAAAATACAGATTTAGCAAAACAGGTAATCAAGAGATCTATTATGCTAGCAGCCATATCACACTGCAACTCACAACTGGCAACCCACTGAAGCTCAGCAGCTGTGAGCTTGGTCAGTACCTGGATGAGAGACCTCCTGGGAAAAGCTAAGGTTGCTGCTGGAGGAGGTGTTAGTGGGGCGATCAGGGGGTGCTCACCCTGCAGTCTGTGTGGATCCTAATGGCCCACTATAGTGACAGGGATACTATACTGTAAAAAGGTGCTGTCCTTTGGATGAGATGTAAAACGAAGGTCCTGACTCTCTGTGGTCATTAAAAATCCTAGGGCGTTTCTCGAAAAAAAAAGACTAGGGGTGTAAGGCATGTGTCCTAGCCAAATTTTCCTTACCTATCATGGCCTCCTAATAATCCCCATATATCAATTGGCTTCATCATTTTGTTCTTCTCCCCACTAATAGCTGATGTGTGGGGAGCATTCCAGGTGGATGCTGCACATTGGTGGAGGGGAGTCCCCATTACCTGTAAAACGCTTTGAGTGGAGTGTCCAGAAGAGTGCTATATACAGTAAGTGTAAGCAATTATTATTATTATTATTATTATTATTATTATTATTATTAAAATTGCACAAAACTTGTCTTCTGTTGCTATCATGCTGGGTTATAATCTCTCCAGGAGAAGCTAGGATGGTGAAAGTCAGTTAGGCTGCCTCTACAACAGCTGCAGCAAATACAAGTTAAGGTTTTCCTACATCCTGGAGATTTTTTTCCCGACTGCATGAACCAAACAGAAAATCTGAACCCTGCGACTCTAGCCTGAGGCCTGTGAACAGAGCTCCACCTCTGTTCAACAGGGCTACTCCAAACTCTCCCTGTGCACACAGCAGACTGTGGAGACTGACAAACTGGTAGATAATCAAGCCTGCTTTCTTTGCAGGATACAACGCAAATTGTATTCCAGGAAAACTAACTGAACTGAGAACAGGATTTGATTAGAATGATGATTTCAATATGCAATACAAGTTCACAGTATGTTCATCTGTCCAAAATCTTTGCAATTAACTTTTTATAAGTTTGTTTTTATTAAGTTTGTTTTAATTTTAGACTAGGTCTTGAAATAAGAATATGAAATATTCTTATATTTCATAAGAATATTTGAATATGTTAGAATATTGTTCTAACATAATATGTTAGAAGAGATGTTCTCTCTTCTAACATCTGTCCCTATGTTAGAAGAGAGAACAGGGACAGAGGTTGGATATCGTTTTGTAGATAAAATTGGTGTTTAGAACTGCATAAAGCTTTTACCGTATTCCTGTTTAAAGAGGCTGTTGCATTAAAGAACTTATCCTTATGGAGAGTTTCTTGAGAGACGTCTCCTGTGCATGTAAATAAAGTGTGCTTCTCATAACTCCAGGTAAGACTTTTCCGCAACTATTCGGCATCAATGAATAGGATACTGCTGCAAGTACTCCCTGAAATATGAGACACAAGTAGAGCATGCTTAACTTCAAGACTCTTATAGGTACGTCTGATTATTGGGGAATTTAAATTTAAATTTAAAGTAAAGACAAAACAGAGACCGGAGAGTCTTAGCAACCAGTAGTTAATCTTGCTCACTGACTCTCTGGGAATAAGCACATCCTTGCAGAAAGATCTGTTAGGAATCAGACATGCAGATATTTTCTGTTGTGTACACAGCTTTGCTTTCACACAAGTGCCATACACACCTTCTGGCTGATAAGAAAACTTTGAAGGGGTGAGGGTTAGGGTATTAGGTGTTAGGGTCTGGGATGTATTCAGCATACATCAAAATCAGCTTTTTACTTTTGGATATTTTTTGCCTATTCTGCAATCTGCTAAGAGCTTTGTGAGTTTGTCTTCCAAAAAGAAAAAAAAAAGATTTCTATACATAATCAGTATAACATCTAATAAAAATGGTACAGAACTCTAACTCCTAATCTCTCATAAAGCCAGTGAAACAAGGCAAAGGTTATATTTTCTGTGTTCCTAACAGAAGTGCAAAACACAGATGCAAAAAAAGTTAATGTTTAATGTTTTTTAAAAAGATAAAAGGATGGGCAAAGGTATTCACTTGGTATCTTTTTATATTTCAGTTTCACATACATTAAAAGCAATTTTTCTCACAGTTGTATATCATTTTATTGCTGAAAAGCTTGTAAATTAATTAAACAAATAATTTTTCAATTAAAAAATAGTCATTGTTAATTGACCAAAACACTTTCCATTGGTCAATGACTGGTATCTCAAAATATGGAGTCTATTTCGAATCTGGGAAAAGCACCTGGAATTTAGACTTATCTTCGTAATATTCAATATTCTTAATAATTGTGTTTCACATCATACACATTTCTTAGGTCACTGTCAGTTCTACCGAACATACAATTTTGTGCCATCTTTGGAAGAAGAAGGCAGCGTTGTCAACTCAAGCTTTAAGGTTGTGAAATACAATATTGATTAATACAGATACCTATGTACTCAATAAACCAATAACTCCTCAAGGTGTTGTAGACACGAACGTGTATAAACCCTAACTCACAATCATAATCATTTTATACAAAAAGAAAAAAACGTTTTAAAATAATACATAGCTCAGGGAAATTTTCCAAACAAAACGTCACAGCAAAGAATGATGAAAAAAGTGCATCGCCGGTGTCAAATGACTTCACCCCGGTCAGCTGTGATGATGTCGGCGGAGGAGGGGGCTGTGGAGCAGGAAGCGAGTCGTGTGTGTGAACTGCAAACATCCAGCGCAGAGACTGAGACTCTCCGTGCCACGATGTAGCCGCAAATAGGCAGCACGCAATCTGACATATTTCATGTTTGGACACAGTCGGCGTCTGACACTGCGGATATTGTAGTTAAGAGCGAAGAGGAAGAATGAAGGTGGTGAAGGGCTGCGGTATGCGGTCTTCGGTGGGCTTCTTGTCCCGGAGGAAGATCAACGGCCACCCTCTGATGAAGGACGAATTTCAGAGGCGACGACTGGCAGGCTGCACCAGTCTGTACAAGAAGGATCTGCTGGGACATTTTGGATGTGTCAATGCAATAGAGTTTTCTAACAATGGAGGGGAATGGCTGGTGTCCGGTATGTAGGCATGTCTTCCGTTTCCTCTCTCTCCTTGTCATATCATTATGGTTATCTTTATTAGTAGTATTTGACTGCAACCCATGTCTACAGTTTCGTCATCTTAGGATATAATCATGCTAATAGGCATATTTTGTTTTTCGGGTCGTCTCATTTGAAGACTAAAGGCATGCAACAGTGCATATCTTTATGTAAATATTATTTACAGGACAAGCTACGTCATCTGTGCATTCACTAGCTAGTGTTAAGCAATGTTAGTATGTAGACATTTTATCTTTGATCATTTATTTTTTTTATTTGGAATTGCTTTTAACACAGATCAATTCACATCAGAATATGAAGTTTTCCCTACAACTGAATAAAACTGAAACTGATTGAAGCATAAATATAAAATTTGGGTCAAAATATACAGTAATTCTATTTTTAAATTTCCATTGGTTTGTTGATCATGCCTAGTTTATATTTCCTATGTAACACCGTACTTCAAATGGAGAAAAATAATACGGTGATCAGTTCTCAACTGGTTAGGAGTTTAAGACGTTTTTGAGAAGTGCTCAGAAACGCGAAAGTTTATTTTGAACGGACGTGCAGTGCAGAGGTGCCCAAAAGCTTCTGAAGTTCGATGTTTCGTTTTAGCCTGTGTTGAAAACAAAGATGTCTGAATGCGTTAACCTCTAATAAGTAGTTAAAATGTTGACAGATTTATATTAATTTACAGCTATTAAAAACAGCATAATAAACTCAACGTATCTCTGACGTAAGTGGGTTTTAAAAGTTATGCGTTATGTAAAAGTGCTCTTGAAGCTCGTCTTAGCAAGCGTTGCATTACTTTTTTAAGTTCTGTGTGAATACCACTGAGATGACTGGTCATGCTATTATTCGTGTCTTTCCGTAAACATTCAGTATGCCACAACAAGTTCTAATTATTGGGGGCCTTAAAGCAACCTATTTCCTTCGCCACAATCTCGAGTGGGGTTCTGTGGACAGGTGCTGAAGTAAAACCCCAGGCTTCAAAACATCGGGAAAGGCCCCACACCACCAGATACAGGTTGAACAATCGAGTACCTATTTAAAGATGACAGACTGAACAAGTAGGGTAGAAAAACCTGACATAGTCGATTGCCGTCCTGTGACAAGTAGATGCTGTATGTGTAGTTTTAAATTACACAAATTACACATTTGGTGAATCCACATAACGTTGTAACTATTCGGAGCGCTTGTGATTTTATAACACTGACGCAGTTACAAAATATTAGTGATCCGGATGTTTTATTCTGGTTGTTGCGGTGGGTCTTGAGAATTGGCTTTTTGTTGAATTTCCATCCCGTTTCTCATCAGGTATTGCAGTAACTCTAAAATACAACCTTTTGACAACATGCGGCAAGTCCTTCAACTGGAAATAAGCAATGGAAAGATTAACGTCTTTGTAGATATAAATAATAAATAGGTATAAATAAAGCAAAATGAAAACTAAAAGTTGACTTACTGTAATTATTAGTAACAACACAGTTTCAACAGTAGTAAAGTCCAGTTTGCCTTTCACTGCTGCTAGGAATTCGTTTGTTTTAATTTCCCATATGAAGACTATTATTGGTGGTCCTAATTATTTTTCATCCCAGAGTGACCATTGCTAATTACGTGCCTTAGGATTATTGGACTTGATTTTGATACCCCGCGAGGATTTAGTCACATTTCTCACAGACACAACACGCATACACTCACACCAGGACCAGTTTTCCCACGAGCCAGTTAACCTACCAGTATGTCTTTGGACTGTGGGAAGAAACTGGAGCACCCAGAGGAAACCCGCATGAACTTGGCGAGAACATGCTGTACAAACTCCCGCAAACAGGACTCCATGTCCAAAATTGACCCCACCATGCCTCCCATTTAGAGATTCTATGAAATGAAAATGCCAGGGCTCTATAGCTCCCAAGATACAAAACTCGGCATTCCTAACTTTATAGAATCGGTTAATTTAATAAATTCAACAAACCCCACATGTTGCAGTTCCTTACAGATTCTTGATTTAAAGTAGATCTAAATGGATTGGTCTATTGTGGCTCTTCAAGGCCACCTTCCCTGTTCTAACATCTCCCACAATAATAATTCTAAGATGTTATCTGTGGATGCAGAGGATTGTTCTTCCAGGTCATCTGGGATTGCCAGTAGATGTTAGTTTTATTTTCTGGCCTTCTATAGCATTCATCCTGCTGTTCTTTTGGAACTTCCTGAATAACTACCACTAATGTAATAAGGCAATGTGCAAACTCTGCCCTGTTTCACCACTTTGTTTCCAGCTCTTCAGTTATTATGCACCTTTGGCACCTTATTGAAAATAATCCATACAGTTTTAGCATAGCAATGTAAATTAATATATACAGTATATTTACTATCATAAAGACCAGTTTACCAAGCATAGTTTAATACACTCCTTAATATACTGTAATTCTACCATGGTATGTAAAAAATAATCTTGCAATTCAGCTACCGATTTAATTTGTTTTCTGAAGCTTTCATTAACCAGTTGGGGTTTACCATTTACAGACAGTTTCCAATCGTCTTCACAAAAAGTGCTATTTTAATATGATCCTATGTTTGCTTTTTTGGTATCAGTATTGGCCCAAGAAAAACAGTGACATGTGACTATCCTATATGTGTTTGAGAGGTTAAGGCATTCCACCACAGAAAACATAATAAAAGGATCCACAAAATTCAAAATAAAAGCCTGAAAACTTCAACACAAGGTTTAAGGCACTAAAATAAGATTTGTTTGGACAAACAACCTTATTTGACTTGGCACTCGAGAACTTGTTGGAATGGATATTCTGTTTGGACATTCACTCCAGAACTTCAAGCAACGGGTTTTGTTTCTACAAACCTGAAGAATTACTTTTTGTCAAAAACACTCTAAAAAGTGACTTTTATTCATTTAAACTTTGGTTACAGAACCAAAGCCTTTATCTAAAAATGGAATAGCACAGTTTTAATTTGTTACCACTCCATTCGATAAAAGACATGCTGTACATTTGGTGTGCTATACATAGAATTGCAAATAAAACCGTTTGCCAAATTTTAAAAAATAAATATTCATTACTTCCTCACAAGAAGTCTTCTGTCAGTGCCGTTGCTTTTACATTCTTGAAGAAAGAAAACTAAAAAATGTCTGACAGAGTGTGTTCAAAATCATTGTATACTCCTGTTGAAGTGACACTGTTAAAAAATCCCACAACAGTTGTGGTAAAATGGAATATTTGCATTGAGGTCTGACTTTTTTCAAAGTCATACTCATGATTTACTGGGGATTTGCATACAAAATCAGTTTGATGTTTGGATGCGATCCCAATGTTATCAGTTCCAATACACATTTTCTCCTTAGGGTCACTGTTACCTTTTGGGGGTAAGGAAGATTAAGAAAGGCTTTTTTTCCCTAGATTCAAAACACATTCAAGACTTCACATTTAATTTTATAGCAATGTGAATATTATTGGGAGCAGGACTTGTGAGTATAATGTCAAATACAGAAGTCTGGGAATCAGTGGAGCTCACACCCAGTTCTCCTTGTGTGTTGCTATACTTACTGTATGCTGTCTTCTTGGTAAGAGAACTGTCCTACTGACTGTCATGATTGATGGGTTGATGTGTTTTTGTCCTCTCTCAGGAGGAGATGACCGGAGAGTGTTGCTCTGGCACATGGAGAAGGCCATCCACTCGCGGGCCAAACCAGTCAAGCTGAAGGGAGAGCACCTGTCCAACATCTTCTGCTTGGCCTTTGACAGCACCAATAAAAGGGTCTTCTCCGGAGGTAAGATTCCACTCGGTGTCATGTCCTCACTGCAGGAAAACGTAACAGTTTTGTGGCCTTGTGGTCAAGTCTAGTCCTGCAGATCCACAGTGCTGAAGATTTTTAGCACCTACATTAATAAAGGCTTGAGAAGTAGACAGATAGCTGATTAGGTAGTTTAAGAAAATGACAACTGACAGGTTACCACTAACCTGCTGTTGCCCCTTTTGTCCAGTGATGGTTAACTCCAGACTCCCAAGATGTGTTTGAGCAATATGGTGTTTTTTTTGTTCTAAACCCCAATACCACCTCCTGTTATTTCTTTCAAGCATATTTTGTACCACCTAGACTAAAAATCTAATTTTGAAACGCTAGAAAAAAACATGCTGTCACCTGCTTATTTCACTCGGAGACACAGGCTTAACCCGAAGATCCTCCTGGCTGTTGATAGGACTCTAGCTCCTTTGTTTTTTCTGGCATCCCTGGTGATTTAGAGAAAGAAAGCATATTATTAGAAAAATATGCTGCCTGTACTGCTGAAATCAATTCATAATTCAAATATTTCTGTATATGTGTATGATCTTTGAATGTTTAGTCCTTTGTTCACATATATCCTTGTAGAGAAAGCAGCAGGGATGGGTACTGATGGGGATCAATCAGTTTTTCATTTTTTGAGTTCTTGGTTCTGTTAATCTGTATCTGAAAAAAAAATATTGTTTTTTTCTATGAGACATAAAATAGGATCTATTCGTAAACATTAGATAGAGCTAGATCATTTCTGTACTAAACTGCAGTGGCAATACAACTGTTTAAGATAAACAGATTGAATTTAGATTACAGTTCTTTTTTTCTTCTTTCAGGGAATGACGAACAGGTCATCCTCCATGATGTGGAGAGGTAAGATCTCATACTGATGTTTGTTCAATTTAAGATTATCAGTCTTTATATCAGGAATTACTCTGAGATAGCAGAGCAGTTGCTGATTTTCTAAATATTTGTGTGCTTATGGTTCAGACTTCAGGTGCCCTACTTCCTGCTTGGATTTAACTTAAAATCTGTTGTGTTTCTGAATACAAAGAGCGTTATAACTGGAATAATGGATGGGCAGCTTTAGCTTTTGATGAATAGTGTTTAATCAATCCAGATCACTTCAGTTACTGAACTGAACACCTCATTTGCATAATTTAACTATACTGGGATGGGAACTGCCCATCTCTGACCTGATGAATATTACCTTTTACTGGCTTTAAGTTAAATATATCCTACAGTGGTTATAATTCAGGACAACAGATGGACTTTTACATGTAAAATAAACATGTCAGGGGTTGGTTTTTCCACACATGTTATTTTAAAAATAAATCTTTTTTTTTCTTATGTCTATGAGTAATATTGAGATATCTCAAGTGGTCTTGTCTTTTTGAGCCTTGCACTGTAACTGTTCTTCTTTCTGGATTTGATAACATTTTAACTGCACCCCATAAATTCATATGGGATTGTTGGCTAATTTCACATTTTGATGAATAGGCAAACTGCCAGTTGGGAAGGGGCCAACAATTTGCTACATGTTAATGGTTTTACAAAAAGATGACTTATTGCTTTTCCATGTACTCTGTATTACAGAGTTATTGGACCAAGAGTTCAAGTAACAAAAGTCAGGTGTTCAGGATATTTTTAATGTGGTGTCTGCCTAAATTGACTTCAGAGTCAAAGGCACTTCTCATCATTTTAAGAATCCTTTTCCAGTTCTCAAACAGAGCAGTACATCCAGCAAAAAAAGGTTGGTCGTTGAGATATATTTTTGTTATCTTTCATTTTGTGTCATCTTGGAGTTGTGTAGGACTGAGGTCAGGACTCTGAACGGGTCAAGACATGTTTAAGGTTTCATTTTCCTTGAAGCACTGGGCTGCACACTCAGCTTTTCTGTGCAGCTCTGAACTGCTCCAGCCAGGGCAAGCCCTAACTTAAGGTAACTAATGTAACGTTAGCTAGTTTTATTTTTTTTTACCTTGACTTGTGTATAGAGGGATAGATGGTGATCACTAAAGAAGATTAGACGTGTTTGAACCATTGGCAGCAACTTTTTTTCGGCACGTTTTGCAAATTGGATATCTGGCGCCTTCTACTACCCCCTGATCATTTTTTAGATATCCAAAATGCTCCCACACTGCTGATTTAAGGCGCTTTTTTGGTGGATACAATGCTGAGATGTCATATCCTTCTGTCATTTTCACAGCACGTCTGCTCTCTGTAGCCTTACTAAGGTGTTGTTGGACGTCAGCTGAGCTGTAATTGGTGCTCGCCACCAGTCCATCCACTGGCCCTAGCGTTAAAGTAAATACACTTTTTATTTACACACAAGTGACAAAGTTCCAAGTGAGGAGAGGGACGGTCTGGGACTGACCCCTCTGAATATTTCCTTTCTCCATCATATTTATGTTTTTAATATAAAGTAGGTTACATGTTTTATTTCCAGGACCAAAAGAATGTTATGGGAAAAAAAAAACAATAAAATGTTTAATTATGCCATGCTTTGTGTCTTTTTTCCCTCCATAGTGTCTCAGAATAAATTACCTGAAAAGAAAAAGTAATACGTGATTATTTCCTGAGAATATAATCGTACCACCAAAATCTCACACTGTGACATCCCTAATCCCCCACAGTTCAAGTTCCAGGATTTCTCTAATTTCCAGTGGCCTCCAATCCTTCTGCTGGACATCCTTGTGCTTGGATTTGTTTATGCTCTGCTGGCAGCCCTCAAGACTCCAGGGTGATGCCACATATTTTACTGTTCACTTTCTCTGGTTTCGGCATAGAATTTGGCCTGCCTGTTAGGTCTGGTCCTCACAATGATCCTGTAGCATTCTGGCCATCAGATCTACCTTTCCATGTGGGATCAGCCAGGGAGCATAGACTCCTGACACATAAGTTCAGGGAGTTTTTAACAAGAGATTTTGATAGTGAAATGTATGTATCTATGTGTACAAAATGTGATAAGACATTAAAAGTGATTAGCAAAGATCTTGCATCTGTTGATGAAATGAATTGAATCAATATGTGAGTCATGTGCTTTTGCTGTTAACAACAAAACTTAAAGTTGTGAAGTCTGTTTATGCAGCCTTACCTGGAGCAGCAGGGTGTTTAATTTCAGCTGTCAAAGCTGAATATTCAGTTTTCATCTAACATGTAGCATAACTGTCAGATATGACATCTGGCAGACTTAATTCTGTGCTAAACAGAAATCATACCAAACTGCTCTTCTGAGCACATTATGTCATTGTTTAAGTGGTGTGCATTCCAAAATGTCTCCATGATGCCACACTGCCTCTCAATATAGGTTTCCTGTGACACAGAAGGTGTTTTCTGCCAGCATAAGAAGGGGAGGTCATTACACTGACTCATGCTGTCACTTAAGACTAATGACTTATTGTCTGATGCTTTTATCCGAAGTAACTTACACTGGCACTCATTTATACAGCTGTCTATTTTACTGAGACAATTCAGGTGAAGTACCATGCTAAAGGGTACAACAGCAATGTCTCATCTGGGATTTGAACCCTCAAGTTTGTACTGGCGTTTCCATTATCCAAAAAACTGCTTCACGCTACAAGCCCATAACAGTATCGGTTGACACATTAACATGTAGAAAAAACTATAGACTAAGAACAACATAGGACAAAGAAAGTCTCATAAATTGAGGCAACCATGTTCCACATTCATAATTTTAATCTTGAGCCTCCTGTCCTTTTTTGTTAAATACTGTTTAGCATGTTTTTGCTAGGGGCATAGATGTAACTGTGTAAAATAGATTAGAAAATATAGGTAGCCAATCTAGACAATGCATTGCAAAGTATGTATGGATATTAGAAATTTCCCAGGATGTACTGACTGAAGGCATATTTTGTAGTTGAGTGTGGTATTACGAAAATGTTTTGAAGTGGCAACCCACTGAAGCTAAGCAGAAGAGATTCTGGCCTGTACCTGGATGGGAGACCTCCTGGGAAAGCTAAGTTTGCAGCTGGAATAGGTATTAGTAGGATCTGTTGGCAGCACTTACCCTCCGGTCCTTTGGATGAGACGTAAAGAGGTCCTGGCTCTCTGTAGTCATTAAAGATCTCAGGGTGTTTCTCAAAAAGAGTAGCGGTGTAACCCTAGTGTCAAGGCCACATTTCTTATTGGCCTTTACCAATCATGGCCTCCTAATAATCCCCATCTATGAATTGGCTTCATGGCTCTGTTTTCCTCCCCACTAATAACTAATGTGTGATGAGCGTACTGGCGCACTATGGCTGCTGTCATGTCTTTGAGGTGGGGAAACATGTTGGTGCTGGTGGAGGGGAGTCCCCATTGCCTGTAAAGTGCTATGAGTGGAGTGTCCAAAAAAGTGTAAGGATTACTGGAGAAAATGATTTAGACGTCAATCTAAAGTAATCTTTTTTGGTTCTTTATGTAGAGAATGTAAAGTTATTGCGCAAAGTAATAAATGACCACTTTAATATAATTTCATTTGCCCCTGATTCTTGCCATTTCCCTTAACACTTTTAAGATTGTTTCCTGTCATGAATTCTTGATTTGACAGCTCTGATTCCTGATGTCATCTTCTCCCACAGGGGTGATACTCTGAATGTGTTCCTCCATGATGACGCTGTGTATGGTCTGTCTGTCAGCCCAGTCAACGACAACGTGTTTGCCAGTTCCTCAGATGATGGACGCGTTCTGATCTGGGACACCCGCGAGCCACCTCATGGAGGTACTGTATGAACAGGCCTTCTTTCTGCCTTCAGCTCAGGCAAACATTTCCCTGCTTGAGTTTCGTGGACGGGATTCTGCTGAACAAGGTCATGGCCTTGGTCTCTCAATGCCATTCCTTAACTGACCCAATCACTGGACAGAAAAGACCATTCCCTGCCAAATCAGTCAATTAGTCAGTCTATTCATAAATAGCTCGTTTCAATACAAAGCATTCTTAGGGCTCTTTACTTAAATTATACATCAGATATGATTGATAAATTAAAAACCGTATAAAACACATATGTTTAAAGGTGAGATATAAAAAGCACTTCAGAATAAAAGCGAGTAAAAAGTATTTCAGAGATGAAGGGCCATTGCTAACAGTCCCCTAACATGCATTTTGAAGTTTTTCAAATGTCAAGGAGCCCAGAACCAGCGGTACAAAGTAAGTGAACTGGAACGTGTGGGAATAATAACTTTTAGGTACTCCGGCGACAATGCCTGATAGGTCAAGAAAAGAATTTTGAAGTCTGCCTGTAAGAGACTGGTAGACTGTGCAGGTCTTTTAGCACAGGAGAAATATGTTCAGTTTTTTTAGTCTTGGTCAGAGCTGATTGATATAAATTGGTCATGTTTCCTGATTGAAAAGTGATGAATGCAGTTGGCATAATACCATATACACAAATAGAATACATATATATATATTCGTATGAGCTTATCATGCAGAAGTTACATAGTCATATTGTCACATTCAGGTGCCTCAGCCAGTCGCGGCTGGCATCATCCAAATCGATAAAGTTGCCGGGGCATCTGAAGCGAGGGCAGGAGTATAGGATGTGATCAGCCGTCTGCTCCTTGCCATCGCCGCATTCACAAGTTGGGTCATCAGTGAGACCCCACTTGTGTAGGGTGGCCCGGAAACGGCCATTTCCGGTTCTTAGTCGGTTCAGCTTGACCCAGGCTTGTCTTGGTAGGTCAATTCCAGCAGGTTTGTCGGATACTTTGTCAATAAATTGATTCAGTCTGTGGTTGTTATTATTCCACTCATCTTGCCACTTTTTGTTAGCCCAATTACTGCCATTGTCGTTGTTTGCTTCTTTCATAAGTTGCCTCATTGTGTTAGAAGGTGAGTGTCCGTTTTCTAATTGGAGGATTGTGGTGTTCTGGTTGCAGATTGCATCGTGCAGCAGGTGGTTGGAGTCATCTGAGGCTTTCAGTGCAAGGTTGATGCAACTTGCTTCTCTGCGAAGGTTAGGTGGAGAGATGCTGCTGAGAATCGGTAGCAATTCAGTAGGCATAGATCTAATGCACGTGGTTATAATGCACATGCTGTTGTTCAGGGCTGTGTCTACCTTCTTCATGTGGCTGCTGTTGTGCCAGGCAGGAGAGCAGTACTCAGCTACCAAGAAGGCCAGAGAAGACGGTGAAATTTGCACCCCAGCTAGTGCCAGCTAGTCTTCGCAGGAAGTTGTTCCTTGCTTGGATTTTTGCTGCTGTTTGTTCGAGATGTTGTTTGAAGGTCAGTGAGCGGTCAAGGTCAACTCCTAGTTATTTCGGGCTTTTCTCGAATGGAATAGTTTTGTCTTCGCACTTGACATTGATTGTTATGTTAGCAAGGCGATTGGCGAGGTGGAAAGTGCTGCTCACTGTCTTGGTGATGCTAAGTTTTAACCTCCAGTCTTTGAAGTAGCAGTTCAGCTTGTTCAGGTCATTCGATAGTGTTGTTTCTATTGCTCTGATGTCTGTAGAGCAATGCATAATAGCAATGTCATCTGCGTATATGTACTTTTTGGCAGTTGTGCATGGCAGGTCAGCTGTGTAGATGTTAAACAGCATTTGCGCCAGCACCGAGCCTTGCGGGACCCCATTCTTAAGGTAAAATTTCCTGGAGGTGTCGTTGCCCAGTGTTAAGGTAAATTAAATTCAACTTTATTGTCATTAAACTTACACAGGTGCATAGTATAATGAAAAGTGTTTCTCATTAGTCACTCAGGTGCAGTATATAAATAGGACAAAAGATAAGACAATAGACAGTTACACAATACCAATAACAGTAACATGTAATAACATAACATAAATAACATGTAATCAAGTAATCAAAACTGTGCAAAATTCCGCAAACAGAGAAAATATAACAGGACAAAAACAGTGCAAGGTAATTCTTGGAACATTGCAAAAATAGTATGGTTAAAAATGGTATGGTTAATTAATAAATATTAAATATTATTATGCCTGTTACAGTTTTACTGGGCTATCGAGGGGACAGTACAATTTCGGCTTACATGTGTGGTGGTGTAGGAGTACAGTCGTTGTGGGTACAGGAAGACGTTAGGAGAGATCATAATATGGTGGGAGGGAGTGGGGGCGTCACCAACTTCCCCAACTCTGGGGAAGAAGCTATTTAGGAGTCTAGTTGTGTGCGACTGGAGTGACTGGAACCTTCTGCCAGATGGTAGGGGAACAAACAAGTTATGACTGGGGTGAGTGGGGTCACACATAATTTTGGTGGCTTTTTTCAGACTCCTGGTTGTATATTTCCTGGATGGATGGTAAGGCACTGCCGATGATGTGTTGGGCACCCGCTGTAGTGCCTTACGGTCGGATGCGGTGCAGTTGCCGTACCAGACTGTGATGCAGCTGGTCAGTATGCTTTCCACCGTACATCTGTAGAAGTTGGTGAGGATAAATGATCTGTTAGAGATTAGTTCTTGGATAAAGAGGACCATTTTCTTGTTTGGGATAATACAAAGCAGTTTCACTATGAGTCCTTTATGCCAGACTGTCATAAGCTGCTGTTAAGTCCACAAGAACAGCACCCACTTTCTTTTTTTCTTGGAAGCATTGTTCGATATCATTAACCATACAGCAGACCTGGTCGGTTGTTGATCTATTTGTCCTGAAACCTGCTTGTTCATTTGGGAGCTGTGGGTCTATGATAAAGCTTATTCTGTTGTATATTAGCCTTTCCATAAGCTTGAAGGTGATGCAGAGGAGGCTGATTGGCTGGTAGCCTTTTGGGTCCTCAGGTGGTTTGTTTGGTTTAAGAATAGCGATGACTTTTTCTGTTCTCCAGATCTTAGGCATTTTGTTTAGTAATAGGAAATTGTTGAAAAATGTTAGTAGCCATTCTAAGGCAGGTGCAGAGAGGTGGGTAAGCTGTTCAGGATGCAGTATGAACTTACCATACAAATAGAATGAGGGACAGGAAAAGAAAGAGAACATTGGGCTATACATATTGCATTTTGAAACAACTTTGATACAGTTTATGAAATAAGGAATATAAAAAGGATATATTATGGATGATGGGAATTGTCAATTAATTGACAGAAGACATGTTCATTTTTAGTGAGGGGTCTGCAGTTCTGGTCCTGGAGGACAGTGTGTCAGCTGGTTTTCTAGGCTCATTAATGATACCAGCTCTTGGAAAGCTGAGAAGATTTGGGTAATTTGTCCAGTCAACCCATATGTGCACAAGTCATGATCTTGTGAACCTGAAAGCAGGTTTTCTTGGTCATTTTAAATCAACAATTGCTGAAGACCTTCAAAGAATGTTCAAAATAGAAATAATTTGGCTAATAATTATCTTGATTACCCAAAGTCAGTATGGCTCTTCATGATTGGAGTCTCGCAATGTAATTGACCACCCTCCCTCCTGGTCTGGGATTTGAGATTCTGCTTATAATAAATGATAAAACAAGTTTAAACTGCAAATTAAAAATGATGAATGCAAAATAACAATTAAAAAACAATTGAGCTCAAAGTTCAGTGTTAAATACAGTCATCAAATCACCAAATCAGATTGTGATAGCCAGTAATTTTTTTCAGTGTCTGAGCTTTTTGCTACAGTCCCCACATCTGCACACAGGAATTAGACTGCATTCACCTGCCCACCTTTAAACCACTCCCCCCATATTAGAGGTCCATCACTGATAAGGTTTCTTATCCCCTTACACTACAGTTAACATGTAAAGTGGCATGTGATATAGTACATATTATCTAGATATTAAAAAGTATCCAAAAAGATCATGTGGTCTCCTAGGAATCTAGAAACAGAAAATATAGAGATCCTTGCTCCATTAGAAACGCATGAGACATCTAGAATTTTTAGACATCTGCCTAAAACTGATTTGTAAGACACATTAATTTTATCTTTGTATAGTAAAGGTGCTGCACAAGAAATAATTTTGAATTAAAATTGGGCATACTCTTATCAGGCCACTGGTTTATCTGTTTTAGATTGTAAGGGAAATAAACATTTTCTGTTTAAGATAATTCAGTGCCAGACTCGGTGAGAGAGCACATGAAAGCTAGATACAACTGAAAATAATCAAGGCACTGAATGCATTTGTTTGTGCAAATTTGATTTTACAGCATATTCCAGAGTTTTATGACTCTTTGGACATTGTTCATTAACTGTCTCCCACCCCAGTTTTGAAAAGCCTATAATCAAATGTTTGCAACTAGAATAAAAAAAAACACTTAAATATCCCCAAGGATTATCTTATTTTCTTAATTATAAGAAAATGGTTATGATCCTAGTCTAGTGGATATTGTCTTTTGTAATTTGCGAGAAATTACTCTGGAGATCAAAGTGCTCTAAGAAGTGCTTGTAATAAGTTATATAATACAAGGATGCTTCTCTTCTGTGGTGTTCAATAGTCTTTTCTGAAGCCAGACTTTGAATAATAACTTCATTATCATAAATGGACAGTAAAGACATTTGACCCAGAAGAAATTTGGAAGAATGTTAAAATAAGACTTGTTGCCACATCAAAGCCTTCCGAAAGGTTGAATTCTACACTCTAAACTGTCAGTATGAATGAAGAATGAAGTCTGTCTTCAGTGGCAAACTTTATTGAGTTGTATGTCATCTGGGGATCAGACAAAATTCATCTGAATATCTGTTCACGGTGTGCAAAACATAATCAGCACCTTTTAAACAGCTCTGACTAAATTCTCGATTGCCTTTACCAAATTGTATGATCATTGTATCCTTTAACCTACCTGCGTTTTGATCAGACCTCTACCACATTGCAGGGCCTGTATCCAATCTGGCTTTTAATTTGTCAGGCATGTGATTGTGTTAAAAACAATATAAACTAATTATTTGCATAGGATTTTAATAATCAGTGCTATCAAATACCTTTATAAAAGAAAAAAGTCTCCTCAAGCTTGATTTTCCTTAAGTGCTTTTTAAGCTGTTATATGTTATGAATTGCACAGCAGTAGTGGTTCCATTGGCAAAACTAAAATCAATCTAAAAGTTGGTGACACGGATGTTTTTTTTATCCAAATAATTTGGTTAATATAGAACTAAAGCATTTGAGATCAACCTTCTTTATCTCTGTGAAGAGAAATTTGTCTACTGAGCTCTGTAATACAGGAATGTCTTAAATTTGAAAAAGGTGTAAATACAAATATATGAACATTTTCATACAAGGCAGGATCAGTGTTTTACATTTGTACAGAATAAAAGCTAGTTTTATTTATTGCAGGTTGCAAATAATAGCAGACTATTCAGCTCTTCTTTCTCATTTGTGGCTATTAACTAATTGAACTGAAAATCTCATCCAGCAATTTCTTCAAAGCAGCCAGGGTATCGGTTTAAAGAATATGGCTTTGTGCCATTCCTAGGCTCTGTCATGTGACTGGAGCTACTGTGTGTGTTTTCCAGAACCCTTCTGTCTGGCAAATTACCCGTCCGCCTTCCACAGTGTGATGTTCAACCCAGCTGAGCCCCGGCTCCTGGCCACTGCCAACTCCAAAGAGGGAGTGGGATTATGGGACATCCGCAAGCCCCGCAGGTTAGTTCTCGCTAAGAAGTGGCACCAGAGGAAACCCCTTCACTAATCTATCACAGATCAGTGGCCCTGCTGTAATGCAATAAATACATTCTGCTACTCTTGGTAAAATGATGATTGTCATATACATTTAAGTAGTTTTTATCTTTAACGTTCTGTAGAGTTACATTAAATTACAAGGGGGCTTAATTGTGTTTTCTGGTTGGATGTGAAAAACTCAGAAAATGGGTACAAGAGCTTTCATTGATTAATCACTGATTTGTCAGAAGAAATAAAAGAGAAACAAATAATACATCTGGGCAAAAAAGCAAAGATATTCTTCACACCTAAAGTACCCTTGTTCTTAGGTCTTAATTCAGTGCTTGTGTTTGATTGCAAAACCATTCTTAAATCAAATGGTAACTATCACTTGCTTGAGTAATTGGACTAAATATCCAGCTAGCACAAGTGGAGATCAATGCACCAGTCATTTTCAATGTCTTTTAATATGTTCGATTTGAATAACTGTTTTATGTAGATATACAGTAGCTACTGTATATATATAATGGTAGGTCAAAAGTGAACTGAAAGGATTCTCCAGGGAAAATGCTTTTGATTATGGTTTAAACAAGCCCTCAACATTTAAAAGTTCCTTTCTCCTGACGTTAAACTTTTTATGGCCTGGCAGAACTTGAAAGTCCTAAATGTGAAAAATGTCCTGTCATTATGAAATATTATGTTAGTAGTCTGTGAATATTCTGGTCTGCTAAGACTGCACAGTAATGTCCAAAGATGTTAGATTGCAGATCAAAAGTTCAGCTCCCAAACAGATGTGAACTGAGTGCCAAAAATAATAATCTCAGCCAAATTACATGAAATAAAGAGCTATACTGTTTTATATTTTACCACAGATGTTTTTTTTCTTTGAATTTTTAATTGTTGTAGCCATTTTTTACTATTTGAATGTAGGGTATCTCATTCATCATCCTTTAAATATTTGTTAAACTGATTATTTTATGTATCCAGGAAAACAGTATATACACACCTTTTATAAAACAATCATTTGACAAGCCTAGCAACATCACAATATTTATAATGGAAACATTCACCATAGCTGGAGAGAGACTTCCCACTGCCTGAAACAATTGTTATTTTTCTGTCAAAGATCATATTTTATGTGTTTACATAAAAACAAAAATGAAGGCCATAAAGGTTTAAACACAGAAGACTGGGGGATGAACAAAAACCTGTTTCTAGGAGGTAGCATTGTCCATACTGAAAACATTTTGTCTCAGCATGTTCTTCTCTGAAAGAACAGTTGTAAAGTTTGGAGATTCCTGCGTTGAAGCAAACATTAAATATTAGGTGTATTATTAGTAGAGAGGACAGTATTGTTAATAGTTTCAACTTTTATCACCTCTGTTTGGACAAAGTAGCGTAATCCTTTGATTGGAAGTATCAGATTTTATTTTAATGGAAACATTTTACAAGAAATGTATTTCAGAGCAGTGAGGTATATACATATTAGCAGTTGAATGAAACATTCTTTTGTGTTACGTCCATATTATACTAAAACACTTTGAAGAACGCTATAATGACTGTACCTTGATAAAAATGTATATAAAATGTATGTCCACAGTAAACGTCCAGTAACCTTGTGGTTTTTAAAAAACAAGGAAATAACTATGTCTGAAATAGTCCAAATAAGCATGTTGGCATTCTGCAGTTTGTGGTCATATTAATGCAACTATCTCTATTTGTCATATAATACGATTCTGAACAAAATGAATGGCTGCTGGAGATTGGAAGTTCATAAATCATGGAATAATCCATCTTTCTTGTAATGAGAAGGCTAACTACAATAGAGTTTGTAACTATAAATCTATAACAAAAAAAAGGAAACGAATCATGTAATTGTAAAACTGACAAAAGGGTTCGGATTCCTTGCAATCGTGACGATTTGTTTTATCTATAAATGATCATGAGAATTCAGTTACTTAAATTTTCCACTAGAGGGAGCAAAAGGACTAGGATGAAGTACAGTCTATCATGTTGCGGTTTCTTCAATCTAATGTTTATTATATTAACGCCATTTCATGGGGGTTAAAATGTAGAGAAGAATATCTTCAAGACTACAACAAATGATATAACAAAGGTTTGAAATCCTCACTGTTTGTATGAAAAATTGTATTCATTTACCATTTTTTTTAAAAAGCTCCCTAAGATTCTGCATAACCAAAAAAGAAGAAAGCCATAGGAATTCTTATATGTCCATACAGAAAGATTTATGTGAGGGTGGTACAATGGTTAGTGCTACTGACTCATACCTGTTGGGTCCTGAGTTTGATTTCGGACTGGAGTATCATCTGTTTTGCATGTTTTCTCCAAATCCATATGGTTTTATCTGGGTTGTTTCCTCCCAACTTCCAAAGGCATGCCGGCTATGTTAATTGATGTGTCTGAATTTGCCGTATACATGTGTGTTGTGGAAGTTCAAGGTTGCTGATCACTACAGCTGTGCTTTTGTAGCTGCATCCTTTAACATAGAAAGTGAAGCAGCATTTTCAGGAAGAGTTTTCAGTGCTGTGGCTTAAGTGCTTTAATTTGCTCAAGCATGCACTGAAACCAGATTGAAGATCTGTCCACATCTGGTTGCCCTAACTCGACATTTCAGTCGCCTAAACCAACAAAACATGCTGTCTTCATTGGTCTTTCTACTTCCGCCTAGACTGTCTTTCCTTTCCGTCTGGTCTTGTTCTCTCTGTAGACTCTGCACCACTAAAGGTGGAGAATACATTGCTGCTTTTTTACTTACAACTGGCCCTCATTGCCTTGTCAGCTAGACACGGAGGAACTGTAGCAGTTGTAGCCGCACCTGGCTCTCTCAGCTCCCCTAAAGGGCCCTAGCATCCAAAGTATCAAAATGTGTGGGACTAGCACCCTGTCTGGGGTGTTGTCCTGCCTTGTGCTCCATGTTTCTGGGATAAGGCTCTGGGGAAAGCAGAAAGAAGAAATACAACATTAAGCCTTCGTCTCACACCTGAACAACAGCCCGAACATTGTGTTTCTTCTTTCTGTTTTTCAGTGTGTAGTTAGCCTCTACCTTTTTCAAGGTGTTTTCTGAACGTGAACTTTGGCCTGGTAATAGTTATGTGAAGTTTTTCCACTTACTATTAAAAGATCCATGCTAGGATTTCTGTCCCAGAAAGGCTGCACTGATGGTTTTTTCTGGCGCCAGTGCTCTTTCCCTTCACTGTCGCCCCTGTGTCCCCAGCTCCCTGCTGCGCTATGGAGGCAGCCTGTCTCTCCAGAGCGCCATGAGCGTCCGCTTCAACAGCACGGGCACCCAGCTGCTGGCCCTGCGCCGCCGCCTGCCCCCCGTCCTGTACGAGCTGCACTCCCGCCTGCCCAGCTTCCAGTTCGACAACCAGGGCTACTTCAACTCCTGCACAATGAAGAGCTGCTGCTTCGCCGGAGACCGCGACCAGGTGAGCGCTCCGCAGTACAGCTGGTCTCCTACATCCGTATTGGAGCCAAAATTGATTGAGATTGCTCACTTTAATTCCCTGCTGGGTAAACGGAGCCTGTACCCAAGAAGAGTCATGGACAGCGCAGGACAAGGATGAGTGAGGTCCCTGTACCAGTGTAGCCAGTGAAGGCTGTTAATGTTTAAAAGGAACCACAGTTTCCAAGAAAGGTATGATGAGAGGTTGATTTATATGTTATAACACCCCTAAAGTACCAAAAGTAGCAGTTTGGCTCGATGCATTAAAGTGCCATTAATACTTTCGATATGCAATTCTCGCATGTTAATCTGCCACCAGGACTGCCTTAATAATTTTATGCACTGTTAAATCCCAGTATTTATTATTACTGCTTTTCTGTTACTACTGTTTAAGTGAGAACAGTATGGCTCCCTGAGATGCAGTTCTAAAGGTGACAGTTTTAGGGGAATGTGGGTGAGCTCATTTGTACCCTGTAGCTTCAAATTAAAAAAAAGAAACGTACCAATCTCCAAACAGAAAAACATCAGCACCTCACAAAGTCCACTGCCAGCTGGAGGACTCCGGAATAATAATTTTGCGTCAGCAGACCACCTCTGAATCTGTGATAGAACACGTCCATGTGTCATGTTTAAAACATCAGCCAATGAGGGACAAATGGGAAAATCACAGAGGTTAGGAGCATCCCGCGGTGGATAGTTACAAAGTCGTGGTTTTCCTGAGGGATTCTTTAGCTCTCAGACCTTTTGGCACACTTTTAACATCTCAAATATCTTGTGGCACACCATATGAATTTTAAATAATCAGGTCTAATATCGCCAGAAATGACATATTAAAACATGGGTTGCAATTTCAGCGGAAAATAGATAGATAAAAGAAGGAGCTATGCAAAGGTCCTGATACACAATTTTAAACAGGATTTCTTCCGAGTCCACGGCACACCTAAGACCTTTCCTCGGCTTGCCAGTTTGGGAAGTGCAGGTATATCTTCATTTTTCCAGTTAGTAAGAAGTGTTTTGAGATTAAATGTGGAAACGTTTCACCTCAGTACAGCTGGCAGTTTGACTTTTGAGAGAGTCTGTGGAGATTTAATCAGGTGGGGGCGCAGTACTAAATTCGTTTTAAGGGTCTGCTTCTATAGTCGCCGGTTGGAGATGGACACGTGCTCACGGCTGTGTCACATGTATTAAAGCACGTGATGAACTGAAGGAACTGCAGGAGGGGGATGAGAAGGTTAGTCCAGTGTCCAGAAAAACCAGGAAGGAGAGTTTGAAAAATGGCTTTGAGAAATATCAGGTTGGACAGGACAGAGGTTAGAAAAGATAAGAGAAAGGAGGCAGAGGATGTTGGAGTCAGTTACCGAATGGAAGGTTGTAAGTCTGAGCAGTCTGCCAATCTCAAGTCACAAGATCTTAAAAATACTTGCTCTTGGAGTATAAGAAATCAGGACTTTGCTTTCCTGGCAAATGTTTTGGATCTGAGGTTGTCTCTCTGGGGGTCAAGCATCCGCAGCTTAAACATTAAACCTGAGTTTAAATACGTGTTTCGGAAGTCTGTCTTACAGTGTTGCATCCTGTTTGGGCTGGGCTCTTCCTGAGTCCTAGCGGGGAGCCGGGCAGGTCAGGTGCGTGCTTTCATGACGTGCAGATTGAACAAGCGTCTTACCTGTAGTGTTGGAGGCAAGTACATGATGTACAAGAGAGACAAAGCAGGGAAAGAAGAACAGCGGCATGGTGATAAACACATGAATTTGTCTTCATTAACTGGAAGTCAAGTTGCTTTGTTCTCCGTAGCTCCAATTGTTCCGTTTTCCGTTGTGAATATTTCAAATGAAATCTGGAATAACACTTTTACCAAATAATATTTATTTTGTTAAAAACCTTGTCATTGCTCTTTATTGGGGTATTATATATGGGAAGCAATTTAAGTAACAGGTAAAAAGTCTTAATTATGCATTATTACCTTTGCTCCAAGTGTATGAAAATACAGTTTCTTTTAACAAACAAAAAGAAGATCTTAATTGACATTTCAGGCAAATACTCTTAAATTGTGAGCAGTACTTCAAGAAGCATAATTACCTTTACAGACTTTTCAGCCTTTCCCTATAGTTCCTATTCTATAAATTTATGAAGTGGTGGCAGTGAAAGATCAGTTGAGCGTTCCTGTAGCTGTCACGTGCACTTATTGCATCAAGCAAGGTCAGCCCACATGTTAAGGTCCGTCACCGATGACCCTGGTCTGTCAGCTGTTGGCACACGTGCACTGCTGCCCACTACTGTACATTCGCTAGCTCAGTGGCAGTGCCAGTACAAAAGCCCACAACAAAATTGTTAAATGCTCAGCTGTTGGAGGAACAGCGGACAGCCCACCATGCTGTCAACAACAGAGACACTCACTGTTGAATCGAAATCTGCTTCAGAAAAGATGAAGCTTCTCACACAAGGGGCTGGACTCTGATGGTCTCATCTGAGGAGTGCCTTGGAGAAGTCCATTATAACATTGCCACTGTCAGGCACTGTTGGAAGTGATTGATTATTGTAAATAAAAATATTGGTGAATGCAAGGGTTACAGTGGTTAATTGAATCGTCACACTCAGCAAAACTAGCAAATGAAAACCTGGAGTTTAGGAAAAGGTATTACCATGAAGTGGCAAGAACGTATCATCACAGATTAGATCAGTGTTGTCATAGTGCTATCAGTGCATCACAAACCAAGTATCAACTCCCCTTCCCAGGAGAAACCTTGGAAGTCATACCTTTTTTTAAGTGAACAACATCTCTTATGTGTCAACACTTTTATGCAAAGCAACTTAACTTTGCACCCACTAATACAGCAGGGTATTTCACTGCAACTGGGTGCAGTGCTTTGCTCAAGGGTACAATAGCAGCATCTAATCAGGGATTTGAACCCAACTTTCCAATTGTAAGTCCAGAACCAAGACTGTTTCTCCACACTGCTGTCTGTATAATAAAAGGAAGGATGTACCTTACAAACAATCAGAAGGTTTGCCATCAAGAGAAGGAGAGAAGGAAGAAATCCTTTGTTTAGGTAGCTTACCAATGAAAGAAGATGGTGAATCCCTAAGCAAAGGGGGAATTAGAGTAGCATGAATCTTGAGTATTGCTGGTGGGTACAAAGGCAGGCAGTGGACTTCCCACAGTTCACTGCTGTTGGTCAAGAATACTGATGTGTGTCTTGTTGTGGCTTTAGAAATTTCCTGGGGAGAGATATGGATGCCCTACACGAGGCCCCATGATGCCTCAGACACGAGTGAGGAGATTCATAAAAATGCAATTACATAAAAAATGAATTCAGGTGAAACAAAGCAGTGTGAGACAGTGTCCTGCCTCTTGGCCGTTAGTTTTACACCTTGCGAAGAGGAAATTCCTTAAGCTTGAGAGGAGAGAATGAACTTCCTCAGAACATATTCATATTCATATAAACATATTCCTCATTACATATTTCTTAAAATACGTAATAACACTTCCCTCAGACACTGCTACAAGGTAGTTTTAAACATCTAGAGATGGAATTTATGAAGAAATAAAAGGAGGGTTTGAAAACTGAGGTGTGAGACATGTCTTTACCCAAAAGGTTGTGGGAGTGTGGAACAAGCTGTGTTGTTGAAGTAGATACCCTGGATTCTTTCAAGAATTCTTTCATCTCCTTTGCTCTATTAGCTACTAACTACTTAACAGGCTAGATTAATATAAATGCAGAGGTATTGCTCAGAATTTAAGGGTATTTGCTTGAAATTTCAATTAAAATCCTCTCTTTTTGTTTGTGAAAAGACAGTTTATACATTTGGAGCAAAGGTGTGGTCTAATAATGCATCATTAATCCTTTTTACCTGTAATACCAATATGCTTTCCATACAGAATGCACCAATAAAGAGCAATGGCAAGGTTTTTAACTAAATAAATATTATGTGTTAAAAGTCTTATTCCAGATTTCATTTGAAATATTCTTATTTGTAGCTGTTCTTGTTCTTAACTGGTCCATATTCAACTCTGACCATTCACTTTGTTGAAAAGTGAGCACCACAGAGTTACAATAATATGACATTTAATTGTCCATTTCAATTAAAATATCCCTCTACCCCTCTATCTACTGTGTCATTTCTCTTAATGGTGTTGTACTTTAGGGTGTGTTTCTCCATAATATTTCATATGGAGTCACAGGAATCCACTGTGGTCTATAAAACAAGATAATGCAGATACACATGCACGCTGCCCTCTGGAACCTGTCCAGAGCCCTCTGGTGGGAAGTGTGTTGTGTGTTGGGGTTAAACCTTTCGTTTGCTGCATCTCTCTCACGGAGCTCTGCAGACATTACATCATTCGGAAGCCTCGCGTGTTGATGTTAGTGTGCCTTTCAGGCGCCTCAGGAATGCGCTCCACTTTTGAGCCCCTCTTCCCCCCTCGGAGCACACCGGTGCTCGGATTTTTTCAGGGATGTGCAAAAGCCTGAGAGTGTAAACAGTCAAGCTCTTTCCATGCGGTAGGTAAGCCGGACTGTGGTGCTCTTGGTAACGGTCTCTCTACTGTGTGTCCAGAAAGAACATGGTCCAGTCAGTTCTGATGGCCTCCTGTCCAGAAGGTCTTTCCTATGCTTGTATGTAAAACCCATTAGGAATAGATGTTCAGAATTACTGACAGTCTGAGAGGGAGAAAAAAGTCTTGGAACATAAACTACCATCTTATTTAAAAAACAAACATTTTATACATGCATATTGGATTTAGAGTTGGTAAAATAATATTGTCAAGGTGAAAATTGGGGGGAAAATATTTTAAAATGGCATACAACAACAGAAGCTATTGCGCAGGAACTCAACTGGGGAGATTTTCCTGAATAAAATTCCCCTTAATTTATGTAAAATTTCTAAATTTGTGTGTAAGGGCTACACCAATAATCTGTGAAACCCTGAGATCAGGTTTAATTGCCCATTCAGTGTCACCATCTGCTGCTGTGACCTTGCAGTCTCTCTCTGGATGTTTTATTGAAGAAGCTTCCTGAATAAAAGCCATGTTTATGTTGCAGAGCCTGCTGGTCTTTTGGTTTCTAAAGCTGGAAAAAAAGAATCATCTGAAACCCGTTGCCTTAATTCCATGTCAGAAACTGCAGGCCAGCCTAATTAGTTTTCTGGCCCTTGTGGCTAAGCTCAGAGCACACACCATTCAGATACCTGGAGCAAATACAGTACTGCGTCTGAGGGGAGTGCTGTGGGCCCCAGGAGTATTCCTGTTTCCAATACCTTTCTACATGAATCTGTGTCCATAGCCTTTAGGAGGCTTAACAATGAAGCCATTTATTTAAAATGGAAAAGAAATAAAATCTGAAAGTTTTTTTCCTCTGCCTGTTAACCATACTCTGTTCTGCAGTGCAGACAAACAACTTGCTATTTTGTTTTAGGTGCCTTATGAAACAGAAAACTTCACTGTTGAAGTCCTAAAAGCCTTGTTTGTTTTTAAAGGTGCTATATAAAACAGTTTTGTGTTCTATATAACAAGTCACAAAAGATGTTGTATTCTCAGTTCTGTCTTTTATTCTTATAAAGCTCATGAATTTAGGAACCACGCAAAATTCGTTATACTGCAGAATGTGAGTGGCACAATGCAAAACTGTGACAAAAACTAGGGCCCTAATTTTATAGTCACAGGAAAACATTTGCAGCTGATAATGGAATCTTGATTGCCAAGGCTTCTAGGATTCTCATTTAAGATCTATGGTACCAATACCATAGGAAAAGAAAAATTCAAATACATTTGTGCAGTTGGTATTTGAAGTCGTGATTCGGGTAATGGGCAGCACTTGTGCAAAGTCATTAGCTCTGCTGCCTCACAGCGCTGGGGCTCTCTGTTCAATTCTGGAACTGGGCTGCTATCTGTGCGGAGTTTGTATGTTCTTCTCATGTTTGTGTGGGATTCCTGTGGGTGCTGCTCTTTCCTCCTGCTGCCCAAAGACATATTGATAGGTTAATTGGCTTCTGGGACAATTGGCCTTGGTAAGAGTGTGTGCTGTGTCTGCCCTGCAATAGTCTGACATCCCGTCCAGGGTGCATCCTCCCCTGCCCCTGCTTGCCTGGATAGGCTCTGGTTCACCCTTCGACCCTGAATTGGTTAAAAGCTGTCGTAAACAGTTAGATAAATGGATAGTGTTGGGTAATCCCATGCATATGTATTAGAATAGAAACATTCTTTGTGTTTAATACAGTGAATTCAAGTGACCATTAGTATCTTCACTTAAAGTCAACTTCAGAGTGTAAATGTCTGTACATGGTTGTGTATCCCTTTAAGGTAATAACGGCTTTCGTCATGTATAAAATATATCTAATAAACAGAAATGGGAGCCATCTTTTCCCTAAGAACCAGGGTTTGGCTTTAAAGGGGTTTCATGTTGCTTCTTTTTACTTCAACTGGCTGGAGTTCATTAAACTAATAAAGTCAAAGCACTTGTAAATGTTTTATTGTTATAGTGTCATTCTCATTAATGCACTGGCACCCAGGATGTGTATCATAGCCTCAACTGCTGCACTACTCAGTGACTTGGAAATTATTCTTCACGCCTACATATGTGCTTTCCTTCTGTTTTCCAGTACATCCTGTCAGGATCAGATGACTTCAACCTGTACATGTGGAGAATTCCCAAGGATCCAGAGGCAGGTGGGTGAAATCGGGGCTGCAGGGGTTAGGGGTTGTGGAAAAAACTTTTGTCACTTTGGAAAAAGAGAGAGCTCCACCATGTCAGGGTCTGTAATGTAGTATATATATTACAGCAGAGATGATTTATTGGACAAAAATCATGAATATAAATCTTTTTTTAACTTACAATTGTAATATGTTACAGTACTTGTAGAAATATCTGAGAACAAGCTTATTCTACTTATCTTGGCCCCATCAAGAATACTTCCACACATTTTATTTTTGTTTATTGTTAAACGACCTCTCCAGTTCAGACACATCATGTTAAAAGAGATAGAAGTACTTTAGCATTTATTTTCAAGAGAAAACAACAGTGTTAGAAGTATAACAAAGAAATGAAAACCAAGGGATGTTAAGATGGTAAAAAAAAAAGTAAAAATAAAAAGCTAAAACAAACAAATAAACCAACTATGCATAAACAAACTAACACAAACCCCCACGTCTTTGGTATTATTCACGACCCAGAGTTCTGTTTTCGCCCTCCCCTCACTAGGACCGGAAAACACGCCTTTTTAAACCTTTTCCTCGAGCTAGCCTCAACTGTCTCCCCATCACCCCGACAAGCCACTGCTTGTTGGTTTCCCCTCCCTGGCTCCTGCTACATCAGGAAGCTGTCTAACTGAAGTAAAGTCCTCTGGTCAAGGACATCTAAATCTGAGGCTGTTCAGCAGTGACAGACGACTGTGCAGCTGATACAGAAAAGGAGACTCTCTGCCACAGCATTCGTGTACATTCTGGCGTCTGTGATGGAGGGTTGAGGCTGCATATTAGTGCGACCTCATCTTCTATTAATTAGCTAATTAGTGGTGTTACAAAATGTAGTTATCCACACAAGGGAGAAATACAAGACTTGCCACGTTTCTGTACCATCTGTAAAGAGAAGATTAGGTCAAGGCTTGAGTTTTTGGTTTGACAGTGGTGTAGCCCCCTGGTTTAGCAAAAATCAAGCTCAGGAACTGAAATGAATGCCATGGCCTTCACAGTCTGCGTCTGAGTCCAGCAGAGGCTATCTGGGGCTACGTTGACTGAGAGGAAACCATAGAAGGTCTAGAAATAGGAATTAATTTTTTGGACATTTTTCAGAACAGGTTGAAGCAGTATGTTATTTATATTAATATATCAATGGATGTTATTTGATTGAATGTTTCTCCCAAAGTTAAGTTCTTTGTTGTTTTTTTAACTATTCAGCAGTGCCATATAATGTTTGCTGTAGGGGGATGTGCATGATACAAAACATGGGGCTGATTCTATGTTTCTGAAGTGTTGATTTGTTTATTTCTTAGCCCCTGTAAAGATTTGCAGGTGTTGAAATGCCCTTGGCAAGATTAATCCTTTATTTACAAACAGAGCTTTATTTACCAACAGAACTTCTTGAATTATGAGCTTTTAATTGTAATAAAAATAGACTGGGAAAAACCTTCCTCATGTGTTGTTCGTATTGTTTTCATGTTATTTTCACTAGGCCTAACAGTTTCATTTTCTGCCTTGTGTTGTCTGTTACAACCCAGAAGCAATTAACAAGCTGTCTGGGGCGATACAGCTGAAAGAGAAGCTTGAGTTGTTTTGAATTGGATTCAAAGGTCCATCTTGTATCCATTGTTTTCTGTAGGCTTTCAATTGTACTTCTATTGTGAAATGACATTGGAAAATGTTCTCTGATTGACAACATTTGGGAAATCACCAAAGGGGTACTGTAAACAATAAACCAGTCTGCACCAGACCATGATGACAGAGTTTCTGTTTTATTGTCCTCAGTATCTTATATCCTCTTAATGGAAAGTGCTCTACACCTACAGTACTTTCTACTGTCCTTAATCTCCTGTTACATGTATGTTGTTGTAATATTTGATCATTTTATTTATATAAAATTATGTTGCAACTTATTTTTATAAACAAAGTGTGTACTACAAAAGGTATAAAAAAACATTTTTAGATTCATGAAGGAAGTATAGTTTTTGAATTACATAACAGACCAGGCATAATAGAGTAACACAATTTGACTAGGAGAATCACTAAGTCTCATTCAGAAGTGCTTCATTTTGTTGCTGATAGCTTAACCGAGTCAAGCTTTGTTGTAAAATCCCTGTGATTCGGTATCCACAAGGAGGATGAGTAGTGCTCTTCCATGATGCACAAACTTGCAGGCCGTGGTTCCTGACACTAAATTTACTTGTATGTCTGTTTATTCACATTTCACATTTTGTTGCACAAATGTCTTTTCTTCTCAAGTCAGATACTTTTCCAAAGTACTTGACTGCCGCCGGCGTTCTCTGTTTGCAATACTGGTTTCTTAAGAGAATTTGCAGTTGAATAAGAAGCTTTTGGATGTCCCTAATGAATCCAGTTGTATTATCTTGTAAAGAATTGGAACGTTCCTTCTGTGTTTTTTTTAAGATCACCATCACCACATGTCTGCACGTGTATTTTACTGCCATGTCTACCTTTTCTCTGCTACTGTATCTTAAAGGAACCAAATGTGTGGCTAAGGAAAGACACTGTCGGATACGACATTTCCAAGATGTTTGGCCACAGCACTGTGATTTTAAATACATATACATCTGCACTTTTTTTCCTTTCTGGCTCTGTAGAACCCTTTCCTGGTTATTGTTATAAACTGTCAGGAGCTGTGAGGTGTTGCTGTAAATTGGCTTCAAACTCTCACTGTTGTATTTGGCTGTACAGGAGGCCCAGGCAGAGTGGTGAATGGAGCCTTCATGGTGCTGAAGGGGCACCGGTCCATTGTTAACCAGGTCCGCTTCAACCCCCACACCTACATGATCTGTTCCTCGGGCGTAGAAAAGGTCATCAAGGTAGGTGTACTGTCTTCCTAGCACTGCCCCCATTGGCTGGAGTGTTAGGAACCCCTGCTATACATGTTGGAGCTCCGTGAGCAGCACAAACACCTCAAAGAGGTTTCTTTCCTCCGTCTAAAGACATACTGGTATGTTAAGACATACTGGGTTCTAGGAAAACTGGCCCTGGTGTGAGTGCGTGTGTCTGTGTCTGCCCTGGGATGAACTGGGATCCCATCCAGAGTGTATCCTGCCTTGAGCCTGTTGCTTTCTGGGAGAGGGTCTGGCTCCCCTGAGACCCTGCATTAGATTTAGTGGATGGATGTTACAAAAAACTCGTACTGCTCAATCATTGGAAAACTTTTCACAAGTCACTGCTTATACTATCAGCTTCAAATCAAATCAGTTAAATCAGCTGGTTGTTGAAATTCTGAAAGCTAAAATTCAATATACATGAATTTAATTACATACATAAACATGTGAGATGAATTGGCATTTTCTGAATGCTTACAAATATACATTGCCCATAAAAAGTCTACAGCTCCCTTGAACGTTTTCACATTTTGTGTTACAGCATGGAACCATGATGTATTCAACTGAGAATTTTTGCCACTCATCAACACAAAGTACTCTATAAAGTAAAAAAAAATCCAGACATTTTACTAAATTAATGAAAAATAAAAAAGTTTCTGTAGGCACTGTATAAGAAAAACAATAACTGCAGTGCATAAAAGTTGTCTGAAATATGATTCATGAAAACATAGTTCATTGTCTGTTATATGTCAATGAGGCCATTAAGCTTTAGCCACAAGGACAAGGGGTTATCGAGCTGCGATGCCCTTGGTTTTGGTCCTGCTGCAGTTTCCAGTACAGTAATGTGCAGATTTATTTGAACATCTGAGGGTTTTTTTTACCAGAAATGGCTGGGTTTTTTGGTGGGTTAAAATGCTTTAATTAAAAGCTCTTCCTCTGAAGTTAGTTTGGTTTAAAGCAACTCACATCTGCTAATTGCTTCCTCAGCCTGTTTAGAGATTGGATAGCTCCTCCATTTAATATAGTAGTACTTGATCAGTTAGCTGTTTATTTTTTTCTGCATTTTCTGCATTAATGCTAAAATTAAAGCTGCTTCGAGTCCATTCATTTAGCCTCAGTGGCTGAGATGCAGCATTTTCTAATGTTTTTCATTTATCATTTAGTGCGTTGCTGTGTTATTAGTTTTTACAAAGATGAGGATGTAAATAATTCCAGATTGATAAGAGCTCATATTTTAAATTAAGTAAATGTTTAGTTTTGTGCACTCTAAAAATTAAATATAGATAAGAAAAAGCCTTTACCTTTTATTGTTTGTTATTGTTTTTTCTTGGTTTGAACAGCAAGATGGACTATGGTTAATACTGTGTAACACTTACACTTTCCCAAGATTTCACTTATGTTTTGCAGCATTCATATTAGACCTTCAGGGTTCTGTTTCTTCTGTTGATTAATTTGTCCTAAATTACTTCCTTATTATATGACGAGCAGTTCAGAATTGTCACCTTTTTTAAGCTGTGGCTCTCCTTTCCTCCTGAGTGGTACTGTAGACTGTAAGTAATCCCACAGATCTGCAGGTGGATGGTGTACCAGGCAAGAGCTTTGTTTGCTAGAAAGGCAAGAGTCCCTGGGTTTCTAATCCTGTGCTTGCCTGCCCCAGGCCCCAGGCTCAAATTGGTGATATCCAATAGACACTTTAGTCAAGCGCCTTTATTGCTCATACTGTTTGGGAGTTCCATTCCCTTACTCCTTTCTTGTCTAATTGAATCATATGTTTGGCGAGTTAAAGTTGGCTAATTTAATATAGTGACAAATTTCCTGGGTTTTGAGGTACTTTGTTCTGACTATGCACACACTATTTCAAAATTGCAGAAATAGGAGCTCCGTGGGTATATGCACGCCATAGTGTTAATGTTTAGGGAGGTATGATGGCTATCACCATACAGTAGCTCCTTTCTCCCCTTAGTTCAGTGTAGTTTTGAAAGGCGTGGTGCTGGATGAGATTTGTGTGATGAACGAGCTGAATTCCAGAGCTAAACACTGCCCCAGGATAATCTTTCCTTTAAAAATCAGTGTCTGCAACACCCAATGTCACCTTGATATACTGCTGGGAGGAGCTGATAAGAGAGCCAGATAATGTCAGTGAAACAGCTCCCCTCTATTCACCAAAGAACATAATACTGCCCAGAACAGCTGCTAGTTCAGGCTCATTTGATGATAAATATCTAGTCATCTTGCCTCATCTCCTGTCAGATCTTTACTCAGCTGTTCAGCTTCTTCTGTCCTAAGATCTTTTGAATCGTAATTGCTGCCTGCCCTTTTTTCTCTGTCTCTCTTATGACACAATTGTTATTTTGGTCCCAATTACTTATATATCTCTAATCAAGTCCCTTTTTCAATCCCAAACCAAGTACTTGAGTTTTTAAATGCTTGCCGGGATTTAAATAGTGCCTTTTTAAAACTAATTGTTAAGCCAATTGTGCTAGAACTATAATAATAACGGTCAGTGTTCAGATCAAACTAAATTGTGAGACTTCAAGCCCCTCCTGAGGGCAGGGAGGTCCAGATTGTTTGTGATTTTAGTGGCTTGAATTCTTAAAGACATCTCCCTATTTGAGTGTCAAGCACTGTGGCTGTGTGTGCCCTGTGATGAACTGGCATCCCATCTATGGTGTATCCTGCCTAGCTCCCATTGTTTGCTGGGATAGGCTCTGGTTCCCACCACCCGGAATAGAAAATGGATGAATAATTATGGACATTGATTTTAAAAGGAAATTCATAAGAACAGACTGCCCCAGCTTTCGCTCAACACTCAGGCCCACTTGTGAAAAGGGGTGTTAGGAAAATGGAGAAGGGTCTTCTGGATCTGAGGGAACTTTACTCAGGACAAGATCCACTCACTGTGACAGGACACTGACAGGATGGTCAGAATTAGACCATCCCGGTCACAGTAAATATACAACCACAATTAGCCTTCTACAGTGCACATGTGCACAATGTGTGTACAACCAAAACATTCTAACCAGCTATCAGGTTAGGTGTGTTGAACAGGTAGGGAAAATAAGTAGAATTAAATTTGTTTTTCTCCTTAACATCCTTTTAAATATAATTTAAGCTTGTGCACGCAGGATTTTTTTAAAAATAACTTCATTATAACCATGCCTGTTTCATTCACTGTAGGCCTTCTCAGACAGGGCCTCCTGCCCAGGTTACTGTAAATCAGCCTTAAACTAGTTAACAGCCTGCTTTTTATATGGCATTTCAAGATCATGTACATGAAATAAGAAGTGTTCAGGCCGACTGTTTTTCTGTTATTATTGTCTTTTTATCCAGGCCTTGTAAATAAACAATGTATTTCATTTAAAAATGATTCCTTAAAGTTCAAGGTATGATTCTCCCCCACATCTGCATCCACAAGTATCACACATCTAAGGCTTGCTTTCACAGTAAGTGTAACACTTTGAGCAGTTTGCACCTTGTAATTTACACAAAAAGGCAGATTTATAAAAACAGTATTAGCTTAAGACTCGTCAGAAGGGGAGGGGGTCAATGTAGCAAAGGGATAAGCGGACCAGTCTCTTCACTAAAGGAATTTTTTACATGCTTCTTAAACGTCTCAGTTTCTGTTATCTCACTGCAGGCCTCGTCTTGTCAGCAATCTAAATCCGAACCCCTCCTTTATCTCTGCTTGCATGGGCTTGTGCTGCTTTTGATCCTGTTAAACAGAAACCTGTTTGCAAATACCTTGTAGAATTCAGAGGAATAACGGGGTTACTGGTGAGAGCCAGGGGGCAGAGTAATGTGTTATTGGACTGAGATTCAGGAACAGAGTGTGTCTTAGTGGTTGAAGTGAAAGAAAGAGCCTGGGAGATATTGATATAATGTTTGCTAGAGCTAACAGTTAAGTCTGCAGTGCAAACCAAGGAGAAGGCATTGAGCGACGACTGTGTGAGACAAGCTGTGTGGTTTAGCGGTTAAATCTTGGGAGACCTGGGTGTAGTAATGGCTAGAACTGTCTGGGGAACAGGAATATACTGTTTATGTGAAACCAAATCATCCTTGAAGTGGTTGGTATATTTTGGAGGGGGGTATTTGTAAGTCTCTTGGATGTGCTATAACACGAACTACTAAAAGAAACAAAGTAACGGGAGGCAAGGACTATGTTGCAGGCTGCTCTTCTCATTTACTGGACTGCACAGAACTTCTTTCCAATTACACATTACATATAATATACCCTCCAAGGAGGTATACATCTGCCAGAGGAAATAGATCCAGTGAGCAAATCTACATACATTACAGTAAGCATTCAGAAAAGGCCAATTCATCTGTATTTCACATGTTTATGTATTTATTTAACTGTCAAATCATACATTCTAAATTCCTATACAAAGCTGTTTTAACTGATCTAGTTTGAAGCTGATTGAATAAGCAGGCAGACAGGAAATGTTTTCTGCTCACCAATTGAGTGTTACCTTTTTTAGGTGTTTTACAGACCAGTTTGTAACATGTTGCTGTCAAATTTGTCTCCTGGCTCCACTCCTTAAGCACACTAGTAAAACCTCATTTTAAAAACTGTGTGCAGTTTTGGTAATCTTTTCTCAAAAGGCTTGAAGGAGTTCAGAGACTCAAAAAAGAAAACAGCAGCCAGAATGAGAAATGTCACATATACAGGTTAAAGGAAATGTTTCTTTTTTGTCATGAACACATCAGAGGACAGGATTCAGAAGCTCGGAATCCTCCATAATATATTGACTTAATACTGCGTTAACCTGAAGGACAGCTTTAGGCTCAACAGTGGACATGGACATGCTGTCACAAGCAGAAATTAAAAGCAGTTGGAAACCATTAGAGGCACTTCCCACTAAGAGAAATAGGTCTCTGGAGGAATCTACCCAGTTGAATTGTCAAAGGTGGTCCTCTCAGAATGTTTCACAAAAAGTCCTTGAGAATCTGAGATCTAGTACTCTTCAGGAGATGCCAAGAGAAACCTCTTGGTGTAACAGTTCTTATGTTCTCCTTCTTCTGTCCTGCAGGTGTGGAGCCCATACCAGCAGCCTGACAGTGTGGGGGACCTGGAGGGGCGTGTGGAGGACAAGTCCCGCAGCCTGTACACCCACGAGGAGTACATCAGCCTGGTGCTCAACAGCGGCAGTGGCCTGTCCCACGACTATGTCAGCCAGTCCATCCAGGAGGACCCGCGCATGATGGCCTTTTTTGATTCACTGGTGCGTCGGGAGATTGAGGGCTGGAGCTCGGACTCGGACAGTGACCTGAGCGAGGGCACCATCCTGCAGCTGCATGCGCGGGGGCGCCGGTCAGGGAGGGCAGGGAGAGAGGCAGCCAGCACCGCCGCTGCCACCCCGGCTGTCCACAGCGATTCCGAACACTCCTCCTCGTCTTCACTGGCTGCCCCTACGCAGACGGGCTCTCCCTGTCCCGTTGAGGAGGACGTGCTTTCCACGCCTCACCGCGCGCAGTCCTACCAAGCCGTCCGCCTGCTGGATCTCGTGAACGACTCCTCCGAGTCCAGCGAATACTGGCCGGACCCGATTCCTCGGCCTCGCTCTCCAAGTCCCAGGGAAAACTCCAGCCTCTCCAGCGTAGCCTCTTCCCTGGCAGCCACCAGCAGCAGCACCAGCAGTAGCAGCACCAGCAGTGAGGCAGAGGAGGAGGCCCAAGAGGAGCAGAGAAGGGTGAGCACCCGGCAACGCAACGCATCCAGGAAGCGCCGTAGGAGGTTCCCATGTCTGACGGGGGAGAGGCCCGAAACTGCCAGGGGCCTCTATGCTTGGATGGACAGCTGCGCGTACCCCAAGATCACTGTAGAGGACCCTTCCTCATCCTCTGGGGATGAAGCACAAAATTCTGAAAAGGCCAGGTGCGTGAGCCCAGACAAAGACAGGTTGGGGTTTCAGCATGATGCTCCACCCGGAACGATCCCTGAAATCCTTCCAGGGAGTCCCAAAGAGGAAAGGGAATTAGCAGGGGTGAGTAGAGCCCCCGCAGAGGAGAGCTCAGCTCCTAAGATCCCCCTTAGTAAGGCTCTTGGTGAGGACCTGACATCTCCAATCAAGAAGGAGCTGCGGGCAGGTGGAGAAAGAGACTTGATGGCAGAGGGAGCTAGCAGTGTTGGAGCCAGAGGTTCAGAAACCGAGGTGGAGGACTACAGCGGACCCCCACCTCCTATTGCTGCTCTGGAGCCGAGCAGCATCTCGCAGCCTTCAGAGAACAGCTGCAACTCGACCATTCAGCACAATATGGACGTCAATGGACAGCATCCCGGAGATGGGGAAAATCAAGACTTGTTGGAAAGTTCTCAGGCCTCCCCAAATGAGTCGCAAATCCCCAGCCACAGCAAACCAGAAGCAGAATCTTTGGGGTCTAAAATCAAGGCAGACAGGTCCTCCAAACGACCACAAGCCCTTGGGATGGTGCACAGCACAGGAGCCGGGCTAAAACGGACTCGAGCCGGGCCAGAGGAGGCAGACTCTGAGAGCTCTCCGTCTGAAAAGAAATTCAGAACATGATGGCAACCTATCTAGGCTGAATGTTGAGAAAAGAGCCTTTTTTTAAGTGTTAGAGCCATCATTGAGTTCCTAAAATTTAGTATGAGTTCAGACTAAAAACTGCAACATCTAGGAGCTTAGGTAGTCATAGAAGACATCTATCCCATCGATAGCTACTTTGAGCAACGGGGACCTGCCGGCTTGTTCTTTTGCAGTCATTCGAATTTTTGCTTGGATTTTTCAGTTGAATTCCAACTCCAGAGAAGGCAATCAGAGCAGACATTAATAATATCAAAAGTAGTGCAATTGATAATTATTCAGTTTTCAGTTCAGAAGAATTAATTTGGGCTTTTTTTAAGTTTAACAAAGCAAAATCTAACACTTTTCTCCAAAGGTAAGGACCTACTTACCAAGCGTTTTGGATTTCTGATGTGTTCCATGTGGAGAGAGTTGAAAGTCAGGGATTCTTTTGTGGACTGTGAGCTGGGATATGGCATAATCAGGCATGGTCAAAACCTCTCTCCACTGAACTTATTGTGATGTTCCAAATGTACAAGATTTGTTTCAAGATTGTGCATTAAAGTTATATTCCAGTGTTCATCCATCATTCTTGCATTCACTGTTTTCTAATTTCAATATTGAAAGGGTTATTACTAGGTTACAGTTTATTTTTTGACCTGTTTGGCAAAATATGATGATAACCTTTCCTAGTTTGAAGCGTTAACTTCAGTGAGCTGCTAAATGACAAACTGCAAAGATTCTTTGCGTATTTGAAACAAGTTAAATTAAAGTTTTTATTCAAAGTTACTGCATGTCACCCACTGAAAAAAAGGTTATACATTTTTGCTGTATATAAATTCCTATGTTAAGAGGTATTAAAAAAAACAAGTGTTATTGGTTCCCAAACTCATTTGTTTTTAATGCCTCTCAGTATATACTATTAATTTTCTTTCAGCAGAGTTAAAAGTATTTCTAAACAGCTACTGTGGGTTTTAAAAACAATTTTGAGATACTTTTGAGAAAAATTTAATTCTTTAATACTGTTTAAAATTAATTGCCCTAGTTTTAACTTTATATATATATACATTATCAATATAACTTTTAATTATTTTGAGCTATACTAGTCAATTTTATCAGAAACTTCACAAGATGACCTTTCATTTGGCGAAATGCAGCATTTTCCATGTCTGTTAGGGTAAAGTTGTAGAGCTGCACCCTGTTACTCACAACTGGCCCCCCACTGAAGCTAAGTAGGTGTGAGCCTGTCAGTACCTGGATGGGAGACCTCCTGGGAAAAACTAAGGTTGCTGCTGGAAGAGGTGTTAGTGGGGCCAGTAGGGGGCGCTCACCCTGCAGTCTGTGTGGATCCTAATGCCCCACTATAGTGAGAGGGATACTATACTGTAAAAAAGGTGCTGTTCTTCAGATGAGACGTAAAACCAAGGTTGTGACTCTTAGTGGTCATTAAAAATCCCAGGGCGTTTCTCGAGAAGAATAGGTGTCCTATTGGTGTCCTAGCCAAATTACACTCTGTGCTTTACCAATCATGGCCTCCTAATAATCCCCATCTATGAATTGGCTTCATCACTGTTCTCCTCCCCACTAATAGCTGATGTGTGGTGAGCGTTCTGGGGCACTATGGCTGCCGTCGCATCATCCAGATGGGGGCTGCACATTGGTGGTGGCGGTGGTGGAGGGGAATCCCCATTACCTGTAAAGTGCTTTGAGTGGAGTGTCCAGAAGGGCTATATAACTGTAAGCAATTATTAATTATTAATAAGTAGTATAAACTATGGAAAACTATGGGAAACTATGGTTTCCCCATAGTTTTCAGTTGTGTCCTCTGGTTAATTTTTCTCAGTCCATTCTCAGACCTCGTTTGTTTTTGAGGATTATGAATACTTGAATTTTGTCCTCTTGTTTATTGGAAATGAACTTTTACTTTTTATTTTTGGATTTAAAAAATTGAATGACTCCTGTGACATTCCAGAAAGCACACATCTCCATGCTGTGAGCATTTGATTCTCTTAGGACAGATTGAAAGTCATTGTGAGTAATGCTTGGAATTTAAAAATCAGGGTAAAATGGGAAAGCTTCTTCATTTTAAGAATAGATCACTTTCTAAAAACAACTCAGTTGTTGGACATGTGATGATTCAGAAGCTTTTTTTTATTGTAAATGCATTTTGGAAAGGGATTGGGTGAGTAAAAAAATCCTTGATTTGGCCTTAATTGGAAATAAGCTAAAACAATATCCTTGTACTGCTGAAGAAAACAAAAAAAAATGCCTGAATAGTTTGCTTAAACATAGTTAAATCTCTTACTTTTTTACTTTAAGAAGAAGCTAAAGAAAAATGCATTGTGCATTTCCACGGCATTTGTGTGGAATTGAAGCAAACTCACAAAAATATGCTCAGTTTGCTGACTAAATTTAAAAAGTTGTGGTTACTGACTAGTTCTTTTTTAACGTGCTTTACGGCTGGGCACACATTTGTGCAGTATAAGTACTAAGTATGCATTTACAGTTGATCGTTAAGACCTATGGGACAATTAGAAGAGGAAAAAGATAAATCTTCTCTGTGCGTTACCTTGTTCTGATTCATGTGAGAGATCTTACTGGAATTTCCATCCTGCGATGACTTGTCCCCTTCTGCCTGGGCTGGTCACCAGAAGATCATCGCAGTATGACTCTTTCCAAGTGTCTGATGACTTCGTTTCACTCTGCTGTGAAGGAATGACTCAGAAGGATGCAACCACATGCCCTGAGAGATCTACAGTACAAGTCTGTGAGATCATTTTACATCTACTAGACAGTTTAGGGTTTAGTCCTTCACGTGCACTGTAGGTTTTTAGTGTGCTTTTTTTTACTCTTTCTTTATTGAGGAGCAAGGCCTTGTGTCTTTTAATCACAGGTTGCTTTTAACTGAAAAGTAAGCACTGCTCTATTCACACATTATATGAGAAGGATTTACTGCAGCAGATGCAATTTAACATTTACCTAGAGCTAATACTATCAAATAATTTTCAAATCTTCAGGCAGCTAAAGACCATTGAAAGATTTTGCAATCTGATTGCAACCATTGGTACAGGAAGCTCTAAAACCATACCTAAATATAATTTTCAATCTCTTCAAAGGTTTTTTTATTCTTCTTCCTGAAATGTAAGAAAATGATTAATGGATAAAAAGTGTTGATGAAATCCATATTCTTGTTTACATCATTCCGAGTAGACGAAACTAAACTAAATGATAAAGAATCTGGTGTAGCGTACATGCGTGTATAACAAATTATTTGATTATTAGGTGAGGTGTTTGCACATTATTGCTTGTAAAAGATATATGGCCTTGGGATAAAAACTGCCCATCCACACGCCTTTAAGATTGAACGCGTTCCTTTTTGCTGACAGATGTGCATTCCCGGCGCAGTGTGCACTATGTGGAAGCAGAACTCTTGGGTTACATCAGCTCTATCCTTCAGGAAAGGTAAAGTGAAGCAGGCCTGGTGTTCTGTGACATTCAGGAGGCAGGAGAGTCTGTAATCTGTTTGCATTGCCTTTACTAATGACTAAACAAACACTGCTTTCTCTGTTATCCATCAATATACTGCGTTTGCCTTGTTGCTTCTTGCTTACAGTATGCATTCTGAAATCGGAAAATTTCATAAAACCTGTTTGGAGAATATGTGACTCACCATAGCTTGGGCTCCACCATTGGATGTTGTGGAAATGGAAATTGTTCTAAAATGGTAATCTTGGTTAAAACTATTACTGATTGTTTCAAAAGCAATTAGATCTGGGAGCACAAAAAATGAGTCTTACATTTAAGGTAACCAAAGACGTCGTCGTAGTCAGCTGGAACAGACTGAAAGCAGTTGGTCACGTGTGGACTTTGTGGCTCAACCTGCCCTGCAAATTATTCCTTAGTTGAGCTGCTTGAATCAGGCTTCCTGATTATCTATCCTCCAAAAAGCCCTTATGAAGGAAGCGTAAAGTCCTTAAATGGTCTGACTCTGTCTCAATAAAAAGACAAACTCATAAACAAGAACTATTACATGTTTTCATGTCCTTGGGTGAGCACTTTCAGCTGACAAAAGCAAGTCCAGCATCTACCTCGATGATGCTTATTATGTGACCCAGGGCAGCATGCGATTCGGCCTGGAGGAAATGACTTCAGTCAGTTACAAGTGGGACTTTACTTTGTAGTGCCAAGAACTTGCTGTGCCGGCATTCCCACATCGAATTCCTGGCAGGAAATCAACTGGAGTGTGGAGGCGAAGTGGATCTTTGGTAGCATCTACTACTGTAGAGCTGCTTTTCATCAGTGTCCTCAGCTATGGGCCAGCAGAAGAATTTGCACCTTGTTTATCATTCCAATAAGTGACACCCACAATCTCACATCTGCAGGAAACTGAGGCCCACAAAAATGCATCACCTCTTCCCCCTTAATGTTAAAAATCTAAACATACACAACATAGCTTTATGATAAATTGGGTTCTTTGTTTTTTACATTATTCTACTTTATAACAAATGAGGTTCTTCAGTCAAATCCTGAAGAAATCTATTACTTACAACGCAGTTTTGCCTTGTGAGCTGTGTTAGTCCTTCCCGAACATGACCAATTGTACATTTCATGTGTTAAAGAGAAAAGTTATTTTAAATAACCTCAGCACTGAGTAAAAATGAGGCTTGTGAGAAATATCACGTGAGTTTATAATATTCACTGGCACAACTCTGTTAATAGAATAATCAGAGTCGAACATGAATAGACAAACAGTTAAGTAAAACACAGCTACACAACAACATGTACAATTCAATGACTTCCGGAGACCAACATATATACATACTATACAGCTAGAAATACATAATTTTACTCCTGTAGTTAGAACACCTTATACCACCTTAAAAGGACATCAAGAGAATTAGTAATAGGTTAATTTCATGCTGAAAAGAGAAACAAATATAACCATGGAGTCTTCAACATTGTGTTTTTTATTCTTTTCAGCATGGAATAAACCTATTACTTGTTCCTTTGCAGCCTACGCATGCTGACGCAGCTACCCACCTGAACTACATCAAGAGAATAACCTGTGTCCTAATAAAAATGGATACTACCTAGAACTAAAACTTCCTACCTACAACATGGATGCCCAAAAGTGGATGCCATGGCAGCAGGAGGTTTGAGTAGGACGTGGGCAATGTTTTGTTTTTTTCCCACAGCCCCTGTATGTAGGCGCCTGACAGTCTGCAGGCCATCATCGAGAGAGGCATCAGTCCTTGAGCTGGGTCCCAAATATAGTGTATTTTACTGTGGGCTTGTTTTGCAAGATGCAATTTGCTTGTGTTGACAGGTCAGTGATTAGCAGGATGTGTGCGGTATACAACTCACCTATGTTGTAGAAGGGATGACTGCCTTTGCCAAATATGAAGGAGTGAAAAAAGAAGAATCATCAAATTTAAAAAAGGATGGTAGTAATTACATTCATATACTGTAGCTCTGTTGATCTCCAGTGATCCCAAAGAGCTTTACATATCATAGCAGATTTCTTCAAATTCCCAGCAGATTTCTTTGGAATGGTCAGTGAAACATGAAGCAGAGGACACAAGTGGAAAC